AATTTTTTTATGTACTTGATATTTTTAATTAAAAGTGATATCTTTTAACATAACATATTAATAAAACATAAATCAAATACAGACGAAAAGTGGCACAACACGATAATAAAAAATAATAAATTAATTAAATTAGTATTAAGACAGTTTTAATTCAAACTCAAAGTAATATAACATAAACACAATCCAGCCCATGACGTCCAACCTAAGTGCACTTTTTTCAACAAAAATATGTTATGAAATGAAGAATGTGAAATCCAATAAAAACATTTTATAATACTTCCGCGGATGAAGACATGGAATCATGAGTCATGGGGCCTTTTGTACGCGAAAGCACCGGCAATCATATTCTATCTCCGTGATTTCATCTTCATTTGTCTATCCACTCAGCCTCACCATTACTATCACCATCATGGATAATTATTTAATAATTTCAAAATACGAATACTTAATATTTTATAATATTTTAATTAGTAAAAGAAATAAATAAATAAAATATTATGTTCAGTGATTAAAGAACATAAACAGACATATTAAATAATAACTGAGTAAGAAATACAGACACATACTACTCTAAGAATATTTAATAATTTCCCCACCATCATCATCTTCATGTGTTGTTCATCCACTTTCCCTTCGTTTATTTTTGTGTTTTTGAAACTTTTTTTGTGTTAAAATTCAAATCGATGGAAATTTTTTTACACTTACGTATGCAATTACAATTGGTTAGGATATGTTTATTTTATGATCCATATTTGTGATGGAAGTCAAACTCTTTAGGTTATTTTCACACCTTCCTCATTTTCTCTGAAAATAAATGTACCTTTTTTACTTAAAAATTTAAGGTTAACTACACAAATGATATCAACATATGTGTGTTTTTGCTTTATTTTAGTTCTCATCAGTATTTTAATAGATTAATTTCACTTTCTGATTTTCCCCTCATTTGAGTATATTAAAAGTATATAAATCAAAATTTAGTTAATCTTTGAGCTGTTGAATCTATTAAGTTTCAAAAATATTTAATTCAAATTTATTTAGTCATAAAAAAATTTATAAAAATAAAATATAAACCTATGAGTATTATTAATTAATAAAAGAACTTATTTAGTTAAAATTTTATTCTAAAAAATAAATTTCTATTGCTTAAAAGTGTTTCGTTTCGCTGTAAGTTTAAATTAAAATTAGAATTTGATTTTTCACTATTGTCAATAAAATTATATGAGTATTAGATATATTAAGAGCGTTTCCAATCCTTATTAAGACTTTTCATCACAAATTTAAATTTGATGAAGCATGCTCACTTTTTCTGCCCCAACGATGGCATCAAACCAATATCAAATGAGGGGAAAATAAAAAATTTCATCAAATGAAGGGAGCATTTGATTCTTGATCAAATTTAATTGTTACCGTTCGATTAAACATCCTCCCATATGTCCACCCAATAGCAACATTGATAGTTTTTTTTCATGTCCGAACGACCTCCAGTATGTCCACCCAATAGCAACTTTGATAGTTTTTTTTCGTGTCCGAACGACCTCCAGGACATCTGTCTAGACGTCCTCTCGGACAATTGGGAATATGAAAAAATATAAAAATTATAATTCAACGTTGAGTGAATAGTATCAACGTTGCAAATGATTTAAACAATCAGGATTAGATAATTTATATATTTTTTGTATTTTTTTCGTTGATGGTAATTGTGCATAAGGATAAAATCAAAATAATCAAATCAAACTAAATCTCATCAAATGGGGTCGGCGATAAAATCATAATATATATATATATATAAAAGAAGAAGAAGATGAAAAAAGAGTTGTTTTTAGGATCTCCCAAGTTTTGCAGCCATTTAGAACACATTAAAGGACAATATTGCCCTTGTTGTATCCTTTATTATAAGCATATCAAACCTACGGAGTTGAAGCTGTAGTGTCTGCAACTATTTTCTTCTTCGTAGAGGAAGTTGTGAAAGTCAATCTCTTCACGGTCCTCCCAAACTGGCCAAACCAACAAGCCCAATCAGTCTCCATACTACTGTGGAAAGAGGGCCCATTTGGAATTTGGGGGCCAGCTGCGCACAACGGGCACTGTTGTATGTTCGTTAAGGCACACTTTGGGTTTTATTTCGATTATTTTTAGATTATATCGTGTAAAATATATTTGTAAAAAATTCAGTTGATCGGATATCGATAATCTATTTGTATCCAAAAAAATGATTGGTTAGTATTATTTTAAATATAAAACTGAATACAAATATAGTTTGATGAAATGGCTACCAATATCTGGTTAACTTGAATTTTTACAGATATGTTCTATATGATATATTCTAAAACTTGAACGAGTTAAATTATCGATATAAATCAAACAAGTGTCATATAAATTAAAAAATTGAGAGAGGTCAATATAATTATAAAATTGGATAAATTACAAATACACCCCTCAAGTTTGATTAAAATTTAAATCGCTCCTTATAGTTTTATAAATTACATTCCACTTCCTGAGGTTTCTAATTTCATAACAAATCGTCTTTTTATTAATAAATCATCAAATCAATTAACAATTTCTAATGATATTAGAAATATGTTTCAATTAATAATTTAGATAATTTTATTATTGTAGAGGAGAGCAATTATGAATTTTATTTTTTTAATTAATCCTATTAAATAAAAAAATTCTAACAAAAAGATATTTATAATTTTTCAAATCACAAAAAATAATAAGTACTTTAAACAAATCTCAAGAAACATATTTGTAATTTATCCTATAAAATTTTTTAGAGTTCAATGTATTTCTTCAAACATTGAAGTGGTTAGTTATTTACGCCCCAAAAAAAAAAACACACAGAAAAATATCTCAACATTGGTATTTTCTCCATTTTCCACAACTGTTGATTTTCTTTTAAAATCCTTCCAATTTTATTTTCCACATCTTTTTTGCCTCTAATTTCTATCCCTTCCAAAACAGGAACCAATCCCTCTCCTTTCTGGCGTGTCACTAGTTACCTTACCTCCTTTAAATTCAAACTTTTTTTAATTAAAGATTTAAATTACAATAAATCCCCATAACATAACATTTACAATGTAATTTCAACTAACAAAGAAGCCCACACAATATTGAAAATAAGCATTGTCAGCACCAAAATAATTGACAACAGGCTCAGTGGGATCATCATTACCATTTACACCAAGTGGCAGATTGCACCCATGTTTTAGCAAGCAAATTACATCACTTTGAACACAATAAAACACAGAGAACACAAACATGTAACATTTCTCATCTAACCCGACACGCTGCAGGACCACCTGGAGAACAATTAGGGTTGGGAGAACGACAAACGGCCCTGGCACCAACATTGCCAGCGAAACCGTGATGCATTTGCATTCGGTAATCAGGGATTGCCGGCATGGCAAGTGTAGCACCAAGAGTTGACGATGATGATAGTGAAACTACATTTGCATTTGCACCAACACTAGCGCTTTGCAGAGGCTCTAAAGTTTCAACCACATCACTCATCAAGGGCCTTGCTTTCGGGTTTTGGCTTAGGCAGTAGTATGCCAAGCTGCACGCTTTTTGAGCTGCCCTTACCGAGTACTGGTTCTCTAATCTGGGATCTATTATTTGTAATAATTTTCTCTTGTCGTTCAGTTTTGGCCGAGCCCAATCCACCAAGCTTTGTTCCCTGCTTGGCCTTGTCTTGTCAACGGATTTCCTTCCCGTCAACAGCTCTAGAAGAACGACTCCAAAGCTGTACACATCACTCCTGGCGGTTAGGTGTCCTGCTCATTTCAGATAAACCTGATTCAGAGAATTGCGCACCCATGTAAAGGGGTGTAATAACGCACACATAAAAGCATGCACACCCACCCACAAATAGACCCAAAAAAAATAATCTATTTTTCATCAAATAAAGGAAACATGTGATGCATGTGGAACACAACAGAGACATGAAAATGTATTATTATTTTTTTCATTGACAAAATCATGCAACAAATATATGCAATCCCGACCTGATGGGGCATGACTCTGGCTCTTATGTGTCTCTTTTCATACTACAACAAATATGCAGTTCTCTAGGGGTAAGATTTCCCTGTTGTGCTTCTCATTAGATATATGAAATCCCAACAAAAACTCATCAAACTAACCAAATTGACACATTTTTTCACATAGAAAGCAAGGGTTCTAATTCATTGGGCTCCCACCTAATTATTAGTTTTATCTTCCCAGGTCAGTCAAGGAAAGAAATGCTCATGAGTCAAGCCATTACAAGATGTTAGGAAGCCATACCAGTCATTACATATTCAGGAGCAGCATAACCATAGGTACCCATTACCCGAGTGGATACATGGGTCTCATCACCTTGTGGCCCAGCTTTTGCAAGCCCAAAATCAGAAAGCTTGGCTGTATAATCCTGCAGGCTCACAGACAAATGCAAGGTTTACGATGATAAATTCACTACCCTATCAAGAAGATAGATATAGAAAAATGTTCTTGGATAATGATATCATGTCAACGCCACTCACAGAGTCCAATAATATATTAGATGTCTTGAAGTCTCGATAGATAACAGGCCTTTCAGCATTGTGAAGGAAAGCAAGCCCTTTTGCAGCTCCAAGAGCAATCATCATTCTCGTAGCCCAAGATAATGGAACAGTTGCCTCTGCATTCCTCAAGAAAGGCCTCATCAAGTTAACAAAAACATTACCAGGCACTGACTAGAAACTTATAGCTTTATACATATGCATAACAGAAGGAATCAGTAAATTTTCAGTTCTCAATATTATCATCAAGAAAGTATCAGAATAAAAAATTGCTCAATTTGATTATCCATCACTATTTGAGACATTTAGAAAGTGACTCAGGGAGAGGCAAAGCAGTCCAGCTAAGAGAGACAGACAATGGAGTATTGAAGCTCAAGTACAGAGCTCAAAATCTAGAGTACATGGATGACCTCTTCGGAAGATGATGTATGAAAGACTTGTAATGTAAGAAGCTATTGCATTGTATTCATAGAATGTAGGTCACAGACTCACAAATTATTCAGATATTCAAGGAATTCTGTCAGGATACATCAGCATATTATTCTGCCAGGATTTGTCTCAATCCTTAAGATTTCGTACACAAGCTAAGTGGTGCACTCTCTCTCAGTAGGACTGGCCAGAGCAAACTCTTGACCCGTGCAGGGTGCAATGCTGCAGCAAAATGTTTCCTAGCCTCCAAGCCACAATATCCTTGGGTCCGGGTGTGTATGCTAAACACATCAGTGTGCCTAAACCCTACTCTTGACTTAGGTTGTAACTCAGTCGCACAACAGAATTTTGAATGGGTAAACTTGGGTATATGAGTAAGAACAATGAACACAATGCCATCCCTTTGGTTAGCCCTTTTAGGTGATTTCTCATGATTGTTACTTATGCTAACAGAGCTAACCATATGGGTCACTGTTCTGGACTAACCATGAGCTGATTGTGATATTCAGATTAATTATAGACCTCTTGAGAGGATGCAGCCAAATGATATCCCTTTGGCAATTGAAAAATCCAGCCCACACTATTCTTTAAAACTCCAAGCCACAACATCCTTGGGTCCCGGTGTGTATGCTAAACACATCAGTGTGCCTAAACCCTACTCTTGACTTAGGTTGCAACTCTGTCGCATAACAGAATTTTGAATGGGTAAACTTGGGTATATGAGTAAGAGCAATGAACACAATGTCATCCCTTTGGTTAGCCCTTTTAGGTGATTTCTCATGATTGTTACTTATGCTAATAGAGCTAACCATATGGGTCACTGTTCTGGACTAACCATGAGCTGACTGTGATATTCAGATTAATTATAGACCTCTTGAGAGGATGCAGCCAAATGATATCCCTTTGGCAATTGAAAAATCCAGCCCACACTATTCTTTAAAACCAAGGTATTAAAGAGAGAGAAATTAGAGCCTTATAATCAGTACAGATGGGGCAACTCCAGGCGATGTGAGACACATTCCAACATACCCTCCTGGACCACAACATACAGTAGCCGGACAAATGACACACCAATCAAAGGCCCAACCAAGCTCTAATATCAAATTGAAAAGTCCAACTCACACTTCTCCTTAAAACCCAGGTAATAAGCAGAGGAAAACTGGAGCATTATAATCAGCACAGATGGGGCAACTTCGTGTGAGTTCTCGTGGTTGTTAAAGCACCCTTGCAAAAAATTGTGTGGGCTCGGGGGCACCTAGAGCAGGGTCCTTGTTCTAGACTCACCACAAGTTAATCGTAGTATTCTAATTTGACACAAGGGTACAAAGAGGGTTGTTACTTGTAGTATTAGAGCTGACCCCGTGCACACAATCGTGTGGGCTCGGGGGCACCCAGTGTAGGGACATTGCTGTGGATTGATCACAAGCTAATTCTAGTAAATCTGATTCAACAAAATGGTACAAAGGAGGAGTTTGTAATGACCTTGTTCCACATCAAAAGTTTGCAAGAGTGATCTAGAGTATAAAGTAGGAGTGATGAAACCAAATGATATCCCCTTGGCTAGCTATTTTAGGTGAGTTCTTGTGGTTGTTACCTATGGTATCAAAGCCAACCATGCACGTGTTCATGTGGGTCACTGTTTTGGACTGATCACGAGCTGGTTGTAGCATTCTAATTAATTATAGATCCATTGTAAGGATGTAGCCAAATGATATCCCTTTGCCTAGCCCTTACGGGTAAGGTCTCGTGGTTAGCACTTTGAGTGCCACAGTTATGGCTAAACTATCATTTAAGAGAAAATGACACCATGGCACCAACACCTATCATTGACCATTGTGGCATTGAAGCAAACTTGAACACTCTCAGAAAGCTTACATAGGCTGCACAACATGTCCCTCAAAGGCTTAAGGCTAACACGTGTAAGCCTTATGCTGACGTGTATCCACATGTCTCTTCTATGGGATAACATGACTGGAAAATTCTCAATTACAAGTAGGTGAGTTCATCAGTACTTCAGCATATATGAGGTTGAGTGCACACCATTCAGTTGTCAGGAATGTGAAGCATGTGAGTTTCAAGATTTGTCAGCAAAGTAGTCTTGCCACACTAGTTTTCTTCAGTTAAAAATCCTCTAGTCTAAACATGCACATCCAAATACATGACAAACAAAACTTCTTCTTTTTTTTGGGTCGTTGAGCGGAAGGGGTAGGAAGACAAATGAAGAAAGCCAAATACATGACAATGGGTTACAGACAGCCACAGAACACGTAAGTAGGCTCATGGACCTCTAGTTAAATCCAGAGTCATGTAGTAAACACCTTATCATTCAACCACTTGCAATAGATAACATTTCAACTAAATAGCTAGATTTTTGCATACATAACAACAAAAACAAAAATGAAAGGATTGCAAGACTGAAAGCATCAAAGGCAGGAGTTAACAAAGTAAATTGTGTAGCATACTTCGGAACAGATGATTTTCGAGGCTTCCTCTGAACATGAACTCATAAACAAGTAATCTATGATCATCCTCACAGCAATATCCAATCAACTTCACCAAATTAGGATGCCTGAGCTGCCCAAGGAAGTTAACCTCAGTCTGCGACGACAACAAACATATCATCAATTTAACAAACAAAACAACTTCAAATGATTACAAGAACCCTCCAAATGAATGAAATTAACTCACAAGCCACTCTCTGTGGCCCTGAAGGCCATCCTTGTTGAGGACCTTCACAGCAACAGGTAGAGATTTGAGGCCAACCCTCACATTCTCATCAATGTAACCCTTATAGACAGTTCCAAAACCGCCTTCACCAAGAATGTAGTCGGAGCGAAAGCTCTTGGTAATGGTCTCGAGCTCAAACAGCGTAAAAGCGATGACATGGGTGTAGAGGACTGCGTTCTTCCTAGAATCCTCCTCAACAATTCGCGGCGTGGAAGGTTCACTTAGATCTGAAACAGAACGACTGTGCTTCTTCTCCAGAGAACCATTTCTACCGGGCATTGATAGCATGTGGAGCTGTTGAACTGCTCTCATTCCATTTCCCCCAAATCAAAATTACACAATTTTATCATTATAAGAAGAAAACCCACCAAATTAAATGAAAAACAAAGGAAAATAGCATGAACCCTAATTTAATCTCGGGTTGTGGGAACTGGAAACTGAAGGATAAAGCCTAGATCTGAGACCATCTCCAATCCTTCACTTTTTTTTCATCAAATTTGTTCAAAATTTAGACCAAAACCTTCACTCCAACGGTTATAAATTTTTCTTAAAAAATACCTAACATATCCCAAAAACCTCATTTACCCAATTCAGGTGAAACGAAACCCATCTCAAATCCTACAATCTTTCAACAATTTCATCAAACTTAAAGTGAAAAAAAAAATTGAAAATTTAGTAAAAGATTTGATTCATAACTGATTTAATGAAATATTTGGTAAAAACATGATTTGATACAAAACCCATCTCAAATCCTTCAATCTTTTAACAATTTCATCAACTCAAGTAGAAAAAAAGTAGTTGAAAATTTGATAAAAAGACTTGATTTATAACTGATTTAACAAAATATTTAGTAAAAACTTGATTTGATACGAGCTTGATGAAAGAATTAGATCTCATTTTCACCAAATTTTTCACCAAATTAATAAGTATGTCTAGTGTATAATGCAATGGGATTTGGAAAAGTGTGGAGAAAAAATAAGGGCACCTTGATGATGAGCATGGGAAACAACAGCAGCAGCAGCAGATTCCTCTCTAGTGCCACAGTTACCCATTGAAGAAGAAGAAGATCAGTAGTTGTGTTCGTGTCGAGAACTGAGTGGAATGTGATGATGAAGATGAAGAAGCTCAGAGATGGGTTTTGGATTTGTTGTTGGTGATTTCGTGACGGAGCGGAGTTTCATGCTTCGACTACCTCAACTTGTTATTGTTCTTCTTCTTCCTTCTCTCACTCTCTTAATTTTATTTTTTTTAAATATTTTTTTTAATTTCGAAATTATAGTATTATTGTTATGTGACTTTCTCACACGCACAACGCACACACACATGCACACAGACACACTCTCTCTCTCTCTACTCTGGTGTTCCCAGTCAGGTCTCAGCTGCGACTTTTCATGGTAAAAAATTCGCGGGACCATCACTATTTAAGGAGTTTTTCGCAATAAAAAATAAAAAGTGAGTTTTTTATTTTTTATTCATTTTTAATCATATCATTTCTCATATTTTTTATTTATAAAAATAGATTAAAAAAATTTAAAAAATTAATTTTTTATCAACTTCTCAAAATGTCATTAAACTTAAAAATTAAATTTATTTTTTTAATTTAATAATATAATAATTAATTAAGATATTTAAAATAATTTTTTATATTTTTTTATCATTAACAAATTATATCACTTATATATCATTAAATTTAAAAAATAAACTTATATATTATTTTTTAAAATACCATTTTAAGGATTGTTTTAAGAAATTAGTTAAAAGTTGCGTTTTTGATTTTTTTTTTTTGACTTTCAAAAAAAAGTGTAAAAAAAGGTAGGGAAATGATTTGACTCAAAATAGATTAAAAGTCAAAAGGTAATTTTTTATCTACTTGCCGAAATAAGCCTAAAACTAAAAAAATATTATGAAGAATTTTAGGATTACATAAATCAATCCCATAATTAGATACAGTTATTTTACATGAAGTAATTTATTTGTGAGAAAATAAATTTCGAATTGGATGGACACAACTAACTTATACAAGTGTGAAACCAAAAAAAAAAAAAAACTTACTTTATATGGGATTTGTACTTGATTTTTATATTTTTTCATTGTATAGGCTGATAAATTATATAATATTTTAGGTAAATGACACTTTCATTCCTACTTAATGAATTATTTCTCACTTTGCTCTTCATAAAAAAAATCCTTCCACTTTGATTTATAATTTATTTTTTGTTTCTCAATCTGGTCAAACTATGAACTCCTGTTACAATTAGAAGATAATTTAGAAATTTCAAAAATTAAAGTTTCTCACTTAATCTTAAAATCCTAAACCTCGCCTTCTATTTTTACCTCTGGCACAGTTGCAGCCACTCCAATGACCGTCTTTCCATTGTAAACCCCTTATCTCTTTACCTCTTGTCGCACTATCGCGACCCTTGGCCCCTCACTCTTTCTTATTTGTCTTGTTTTTTGTGAGATTGTTAGGTCAATGATCATGACCCCTCTCCTCTACTTTTCATTTCATCTCAGTTGATCTCGGGTCATAAGGGTGGCAAAATGGGCTACGAGAATGGTGAAGTAGGGCTATGAACTAAGGGAAACTATGTAAGGGCAAGAGAGTTTAGATGATGAATAGTTGAAAAATGTATTGTCGGCAAACGAGTGAAAGCAAATGGTGAGTGTGTGAGTGATTTTCTGGTCACACTGCCCGTTTAGTAAGTTAGAGAGCACCGGCAGAATAGATGGCTTCAGTTAACCTGTAACAGAAAGAGAAGGCTCCGGCTGTGGCTCTTCCACCTGGGGATACTCCGACGATCAAGTCAGTATATTTCTCAAAGATAAATCAAGTGCTAAACTCACTACTCAAAGGATAAATTGCGTACCTTAGACCCACGGGGGTGCCTCTCTTTTATAGTTTACTTAATCCTAGTCCCACTAGAAATCTCACTTTGGACTCCTCAAGAGATAAAGATAAAACTCCCTATGAGATTTATCTTCATCTTGACTAAGTCTCCTCTTCATTCTAGGACTCTTGTCCCTTATCCGTTTATCTCGGATTCCGATATTTTCGGAAATAACCTCGGCAACGCCGAGATAACCTCGACATAATGACCAGGACACGTGGCACCTCGGCTGACACATCGGCGTCGCCTTGCCACGTGTGGGTATTCAGAAATATATCCTTACAGTGAGTTATCGGAGTTGAGAGTGACAGGGAAAGGTGTGACCGAAGTTGGTTGTAACTGAGGTGAAAGAGTAGCGGAAGGTTATGGGTAGAGTGGGAGTGGGTGGTTAAGGATGATGGAGATAATTTCGAATTTTGTGTTGGGGTTATAATTTAAAAAATGAAAGATATGGGGTCTTAAGAAAACATGTGAGGACTATTGACAATACTCAAATATAATGATCATTAGAATTTGGACTAAAGTAGAAAAATTTGAACTAAAGTAGAAAAAGATTAATAGTTTGGATATGAACGTGAGAAAACTTTTTATTTAAAAATTAAAGCGAGAAAAAGAAAAAGAAAAAGAAAAAGGGTTAGACTTTAATAATAAAAGTGTAATTTATCTTATTTTCTTATTATTAGTAGAAGTGACACGCATAAAAAAATGAAATTTTAAATATCAACAACTTGAATAATATGAATGTAACAAATTCAGTAAAAAAAATTAAAATTTGTTGTTAGTTTGTGTCATTAGTCCTATATTAATTCTTGGACTACTCTTGCATTTTCACTAGTCATTGGAATGAATAAACTATTTAAGTTAGACAACTTTATTTCGGTTACTGATTTTTGTTTTTCTTCCTTTTTAGATGGGCGGTTAGCGTGCAATGTGCTTGGTGAACTGTAACTTCGAGCATCTCAATATTTTATTGTCAAGGCATTGGGGTAATATATAAAGTGTAAGCACACCAATTGTTTGACGAATTGTTTGAGAGAGGATTTTGAAGAAAAAACAAAAAAAAAAGTTCAAATTTTTTGAGGGATTGTAACGTTTATCATGGGTCCTCTTTTTATATTTTAAATTATTTATTTTCTAGGGTTTTTATGTATATCATTTATAATAAAATAATAAGATCGATCTAATAAATGTAAATTTTTCATTTTATTGGGATCATTTTCATATTCTAAATTGTTCATTTTGTAGGCCTTTCGTATCTATTATTCATGAAAAAATAAGACCAATTCAATAAATATAAATTTTTCATTTTATTGGGATAATATATTTCATTTAATAAGAGCATTTTCAATAGGTTATTTAAAAGAGGGTGGTTAATTGTTATGGCTAGGATCGCCCTATTTTACTGTCCCTAATGGGTTAGCTATTGCACTTGTCATTTTAACCAAAGAAAATTCTGAACTAAATATATTTGGAGAGTTTTGGAAAGCTCTTTAAATAATTTGAGTAGATAAATAGATAAAATAAAAAATAGCGTTGGATCACATAGATAAAAAAAAATGTTCAGTAAAATAAAGAGCAATTTTCTTTTGTACTTTTTTTTAGATAGGATTTTCTTTTATACTTTAACTAGTAAAAAACAAAGAGTGGCGTTGGAGTTGTTGTAAGAGCTATTTTGTTATTTATTCTGTATGTATTGTTATAAATGAAATGTTGATTTTTCTTTTAAATTTAGATTTGAAATAAAACTTAACTAATTATTACACTTTTTGTGATTTAGTTTGTATTTTAACGTATGTATTGTAATTACTACCATTTCATTCGATGGAGAAAGTTGATGAGTATATGATTTGAAATTTTGAAAGCAACCACGGTGAAAGATACACGGGGGAGGGGCTCACCGTCGGTGGTACTTAGTGTTGGAAATTTTTAGTTTTTATAGGTTTATTTTGAGTTAATTTTGAGTCTAAAATTGAGTGGGTTTTACACGTTTTTTGAGGTGAGTCTAAAGAGGTGACTTGTTCCTTTCCGTATGGCAAGTCACACGGTGAAAACAATTCGTCAAAACCATTTATGAGTGAATGAGAATTTGACGTCGTTTTCAGTTTCGTGGAATAGAAAATTGAAGACAGTAAAATGTGGGTTTCCTTTAAATGATTATCCCACATTGAAAACTTAAAAGAACTTATGTGTGTATATAAGTTGTAGATGACAACACTTGAATTGGGCCCCAAGGGGCACCCCAAGTTTGTAGAAGAGAGAAGTTATAGACAAAGTAAACCTTAACCCAAACTATCACACGCATGTGTAGGTCGGGTCAGTTCTAACATTAATTTATTTGAATTTTTCAAAACTCTTGGAGGAAATTATTTGAATTTCAAAATGAAATTTAATTCAAATTTGAAATCAATTTTTTTGTCCAATAATTGTGCCTCTTTTCAGATTCGAATTCCACAAACAGGTTAATCAGTCCAAACAGTTTTTCAATCTGTTGAATTTTGGACAGATTCATAACTGCCCAGACAGATTCAAAATCTGGACAGTTGCAGATCTGTCCAGTTTTTCAAACTGCTTCTGTTCAAGGGTTTTGCACTTGTTCGATTCAAAAACAGCACCTATTCAGACAGATTAATTTGCCTATAAATACAAGCCATTTCAACAGTCTTTGGCATCCGAAAATGTACTGAAAAAATCATTTTCTTGCTGTCCAATTTTTGTTCTATTGCATATATTATTCATATCATTTTAGGAAAAAATTTAGAGAGTATAGAACACAGGTTCTTGTTCGTCGTACAAATTGTTTGGAGTGCTACTACAATTTGTGAAGATCATTGTATCTTAGGAGATAGACGCCTTTTATCTGTAAGAACCGTAGCGGGGCGAATCTATCTTAAGAATAGAGTGACACACACTCGACTTGATTTTTTAAATATTTATTCGGTTCGGTAAAATAAATTCGGTACGTAATTTATTTTATTTGTTTGATTTGTTTCAATTTATTTATTTTATACAAAAGATTGTTCCAACAATCTTAAGATAGATCTGAATTATTCTGTTTATACATAATTTTTCATTTGTTTCCTTTTTCTTTTTCTTCTTCTTACAGAAATTATTTTCTGTGGTTTTACAAAATAATATTTTGGTTGGAAAACAAATAGTAGTAATATACTATTTGACAGATAGTAGTTATATACTGTCTATTTTCTTTGACAACTAGTAGTAATATACTGGTGTCATTAACAATTCAAAATATTTATTTGTGAAGTTTGTCAGAAATTAATTTTGATTTTCAAAAATAATTTCTGAGTGTTCATTAATTAAAATTCTATTTCAGTATTTTAATTATTGAAGTGCTGTAGAAATTTAATTTTCTGTGTAGAATTAATTTGGTTAAATAAAAGTTACAATTCTTTTTTCTTTTATTTTAATAGAATTTAATTATGTGGTTTTGGTTTAAATTTTCTTTATAGTATAATATTCTAATTATAATTTT